TAAGAAAAAGGGAAATAAAAACAGCTTAATTGTATATTTGTTACACTAGAGAAATTAATTTTTTACCTTAATAAAACCAAAAACCTTGAGGTTTCCTTTCTAAAAGTAAAACATTTTGAAAATCTGAGGGGTTTCTTTTTTCATGACAGCAAATGAACTGCAACCTGATCAATTTAAGAAGTCAAAATATATTTGTCTTAGATAAGAATTCACTAGGCCATAAAAAATTTCTTTGGTTTCAATAACAATATTTATATCTTGGGTAATTTAGTAGCCCTAAAACTCACTGAGGGTAAATTCCCACTTCCGAACCATAAATAAAAATTGTATTCAAAATAGTTCCATGGAGACTTACAGAGCTGTTTTTTGTTTATTGTTTGTTTTCTTTGGGTTTGTTAAATATTAGTGAAAAATAGTTTCTGTAAAGTGTCTTGGAAAGGCAAGCTTAGGTTAGACTTCTGGGTAAATACTACAATACTCAAAGAAATAAACTGAAAAACCACAAAACAAATACTTATGACCAGATGCCTAACCACAGTACTATCAATGAAATTCTCCTCTAATGAGCCTGGATTAGCAGCTGCAAACTCAGGTCAGAAATCTCTGGTCACACACTTGTAAAGGGCCTTAAAGGATAGGCTTATCTGAAGGCTCTGCTTTTGCTGTTCAGTGGGTTCAGCCCATCAAGGTCAAGCCCTTCAAAGCCCACTGCCTTCATTTTCAGTTAACTACCTCCACATTTCCCTGAAAAGAATTGTTGCCACTACTGGGTGGATCATAAAAATGCAAAAAGTCAGAATGAAAGGAGGAGCCAAGGGAAGGTGGAATCTCCCCTGAAGAAGTTAGGAAAACTCTGTGCTCTCTTTGAACCTTCCACCTACCAGCCTTTACGTTCCCTTTTCTTACACTTTCCATCTGTCATCAAGTGCTTGTAATTTTATTACACTGTCCTGTAGTTTACGCAGAGTTGGTATTATTTTACAGAGTTCTGTTAATGGACTGGAGAAATGGTAATGCTATTTAAACTAGTCTCCTGCTCCAACAAACACAGCTGCAACTGTACTGCTATTTCTGAGCAAACATCTTGACCTGAACATACAGTGCTCCCTCGGCCCATCCAAAAAGAAATTGGAGCAGACAGCAAAGGGAAAACGTATTTGGCCGCTAGCAGCAATCAACCATGTCAAATCGTAACTCATATACAGTGTACCCTCTTTTTCTTTTATATTGCATTTAGAGGCCAGGGAAGCATGTGTGCTTCCTCTGGCATCTCATTTTCAGCCAAGAGTCAAATGGTGATTATTCATTACAAAAGCCCAAAGAAAATCTGTATAATATCCAATTCATAAGCTAGCTTTCATCTAGGCAAACAATGCTAAAAACCAGATACCAGTTTATGAACTATACATTAAACTAGTAAAGTTTTTCATTGGTGATACAGAGGGAAAATATATTTTCAAAAGGTAAAATATAAAATAGGAAAAAAATAAGTGTATATGTTAATTAATATCATTTATGAAGAAAAAATAAGATCTACAAGTGTTTCTTGCCTGCATTGCAGAGATGTATGCCTCTACTACACGAAACAGCCGGGCAGCTACAGATCTTCATTATATAAATGCAGCAACCTATCAAGTATTTTCTTTGTGCTAATTCTTCCATATTATTTGCCCAAATTTCTACATTCCTATTTATGTCACTTATCCTTCTTGTACAATAATGATTCATTTCTGAATGAACATTTCAAAGGATACGTCTGCCTGTGGATTTGAACACCTGTCTCCACTTTCAGGTAGCTACTAGACACCTATACCACATGAAACAAAGAAAAAAAAAGGGGGGGCCTGCATCCTTGACCATCTTAATTATCCTAACCCTGTATTCAGCTTTACAAACTTTTGTCCCTTTGCTTGTTAAAGATTCTTAATGAATCTTTAGTAATTTAATTTAATTAGTAATCAGCATCATTATAAGGTTATCACATGCAGCTTACTTCTTTTTCTCTCAAGAAAAATACCACTAGTCACAATTCACCTACATTTATCTAATTCTTGTGAGTCAACCAATCTTCAGTTCAAAGATAGATTCTAGATTTGAGTATGCATGCAAAAATTACACTTCCATGGTTGTGGTCCTAGCACTCAGGAGGCTGAGGCAGGAGGATCGCCACAGTATCTGGCCAGCCTGGGGTATACTGTCTGTTCTAGGTCAGCCTGGGTCACCGAGTTGAAACTTGTCTAAAAGAAAGGAAGAGAAGGAAGGAAGGAAGGAAGGAAGGAAGGAAGGAAGGAAGGAAGGAAGGAAGGAAGGAAAGAAAATTAGACCTCTAGATTTCTATTTACACAGGACAATGTATATATGTCAACCATCAAATGAAGAAAGATTCTTTGCCAATTTTAAACATGACACCATCAAGGTATGACAGGAATACCACAATATTCATGTCTCTACTGGAACTACTCCTACCCAACACCATAAATACTCATTTCCATTATTCTCCAAGGAAAGTTCTTTGAGCCAAACAGGCACATAAAAATCCCAAGTATATTTCTAACAGTCCATTTTATCTTTTTTTGTTTGTTAAACAAAGTATGTCCATTCAGCAACAATGATACATTGTAGAATGATTACCACAATATTCATGTCTCTACTGGAACTACTCCTACCCAACACCATAAATACTCATTTCCATTATTCTCCAAGGAAAGTTCTTTGAGCCAAACAGGCACATAAAAATCCCAAGTATATTTCTAACAGTCCATTTTATCTTTTTTTGTTTGTTAAACAAAGTATGTCCATTCAGCAACAATGATACATTGTAGAATGATCTCAAACAGTGAAAGAAGCAAGTGTCTCAGTGTTTTCAAGTTCCTGGCATATTACTCTTTGAGATTCTGGAACAATAAATCATTTCCCTTTTATAAGCATGCCTTTAATTATTTACAAAACATCAGCACAGTCTTGTGGGTTCTGTTTCTTCTTTAACTCATTTCTCAAGGTTTTTGCATATCTTTTCATATAGAAGCTGCAGAAAATCTTAGAAATATGTAAGAGAGAATGTCTTTGTTCCACTATGTGACAGTGTCAAAGAGGCCAAAATGTCAAACAATATAATTTGCTGGTGGGGGCTAACAATGCACTAAGTCATCTGAAACTCCTAAGAAAATCAAATCAATCCAAGTTCTTCTAGAGAAAACAGAAACAATCTTGCTTCTCAGAGACAGTGCTGAGGTTACTTCTTACATTTTTCCCTCTGCAATTGAATAATGCCAGATAACAGGCACTCCATGCAAGCAGTACATAAGAAACAATCTGTCAGGCAACATGTGTTATTTCCATATGCACTGCTAGCACAGTATCAGTTCGGCAAGATCACTGCATACAAGCCTTGAAATCAGTTTGTACAATTTCCTTCAGCCCCCAATAATCAAAGCAGAAAGTGCAATATTATTAAAAAACAACTATGTGGGGATTTGAGCGATGGCTCAGTGGTTAGGAGTACTGGTTGCTCTTGCAGAGGACCCACGTAGCAGCTAACAACTGTCCGGTTCCAGAAGAACTGAGGCCTTATTCTGGCCTCCATGGGCATTGCACAACACGGATGTACTTGCATACATACAGGCAAAACATTCATACACACAAAATAAAAATAAAAAATTTAAAAAAATTAAAAAGCAACTATGTGGCCATTCTTAGAAACAGTAAGTACATATATTTAAATATAAGTTTCAACTGATTTTATATATATATGCATATATATAATTTTTATAGCAGGCTACATCCTACTTCCTTGGAAATAATAGACTCTAGAGAATATTTTAAAGGAGGTTTCTTTTATTTTATATTAAAAAAAATACTTAAATAGGGACCATTAAGCCATACAGATCAAAAAGGAGAAATGCAGTCAGTGAGTTTTGCTCTCCTTAGAGGAGCATTGTCAAGAAAGGAAGATGGGGGTGGGGGTCAGCTGGGAATGTTCTTTGTATGATGAAATAGTATCAGGAGGGCTGGTGGAGCAGATACCCTGGCTTCAGTGTTGGGGGTGTGATAGAGGAATTTTTACCTCCCTCAGGAATTGATAATAGAATATTGAACCTGTAGGCCACAAAACCTTGGCTACAAAGTCAAGTTCAGAAAACAGGAATATGCTCCCTTTCTCTACAAACACTGTCATATGGGAGGGCTTCCAACACCCAGGTGGGGCCACTCCAAACAGTTTACTCTTTATGTCCCAGCAGTTACTTATTAACATACTTGAACATCAATAATCACTGCTATTTTTTTTCCAACACTTTCTAGCTTATCTTCCATCTGTGCAAAACTATGCATGCAGCTGAAAATCTAATTTTCAAAGCTTTTCATAAGTGTATTTTCACTATTATATATTAGGCTGGTGAACAAGAATTTCTGAAAGGAAAAGCTGATTCCAGGTATGCTCTTTAAAGAATTACTTCCCTGACAGTCTATGACATATTTGATATACAAATCTTGCCTTCGAACCATTGATATTGTAGACTTTGTAGTCTGGCTTCAAAAAAACCTTTATGAAGGAATTTACAGTAATCTTTAAATACTTTGTGATAATATTTGCAAACTAATAAACACTACTGCTAAGTACAGGAACAATACCAAAAAGCCAATACTAAGAACGTTAACTTTACAAGAAACACTGCCAACTTCCTACTAAAAGGAAGCACTGCAGTGGTTTTACCCTTCCTAATAAGCAACAGGGAAATCTCACTATCACGACATAACCAAAATCCAAAGGAATAAATCAATTGCAATAATACACACATAAACCACAAAATGCTATACCATGCAAAGCCATCGGAACCACCAAAACCCTTTTTATTTCATTCAGAAAGTAAAAAGGCAAACTTTCAGCCCATGAATCCATAGCGAATAGATTCCAGGAAAGCACAAAGAAACAGATCCAACATTGTTTTAATAGACTACAAGGCCCAACCCAAAAATAACAATAGCTATCTGTGTCCACTTACAGCCTGTAGAGCTTCGCAGTCCCGAGAAACAGCAGCTCAGGAAACAGCTGAAGGTGATTTCTGTTTAAACGCCTTTGGAGAAACAAAAACAAAGCTTATGTTACCTAGAATATATACAACGAGGTTGGGGATTTGGTAGCATCATGCCTCATCCTGTATTTCAGGAAAGAATGGAATGACATTCAAGAGAATCCAAACGTTACAAATCCAAAGTTGGTTACACCTTTTGTTACATGACTCTCTAAATGCAATCTTCCAGCATGCTTAATCAGATGATGATTTCAGGGCCCTAAACCCTCAACTCAAACCCCTGGCAACATCAAGCAACCAGAGTACACACAATGAAGTAGGATTTCTTGACTCAGACACAACTTCAATTGAAGACAGAAGTATTACAGTAAATTCTATATTAAAATAATTCATACAGTCTCAAATGGCCAAATTTTCCGTCTAAGAAACTGTGGATAGATGGAAATTTCAGTTTTGCTACCTATTAATTGGGGAGAAAAACATGAGAAAGTGTCTATAATCTAAAGAAAAGCAAAGCGAGTCCTCTGATAGACTAGCCAGTGACTGCTCTTCATTTTTTATTTTTTGAGGCAGAGTCTCCCTGTAGACCCAACTGGCCTTGAACTTGCTCCCTGTAGCCCCAGCTGTCCTGGAACTCACATGTAGACCACCTCTGCCTCCCAAGTGCTGGGATTAAAGGCGTGCGCCACCACGCCAAGCTCATTTCTATATTTCTAGTAACATCATTGAAATTAATTACTTCATTGAGTATTTATGTGATGTTTTAAAGGGTGCAGGTGATAGTCGGATGTTTTAGATGCTTCAGGAAAGTTAGATTGCAACTCTAACTCAATTTAAACCCTGATCTATGTCTGCTGCTGAGCTCACTGGGGCTGTGCACACCTATTAAACAGAGTGGCCAGGTTCCATTTCTGATGTACTAGTGTTCCAACACTATCTGTTGTTAAGTGAATAACTTAACATAATTGTCTACTGCTGTTTTTCCCAAATCTAAATATACTGAGGATTAGCAGTAGAAAACATGCACACAGTCATGTACAAGCTTCTTGACCAGAACCAGTGTCATACCAAAAACATCAAAAGCCTATCTTAAGTCTTCCTTTAAGATAGAGGTTAAGGAGAATGAATTAAGAGGGCACATCTGTCCTGACTTATTTAAAGGATGGTTAGATAGACACATGGTGGTATTTAGTCTCTAGCTGGTCACAGAGACTGGTGATTGCATTTTCTAAAAATACAGATTAGTCCTTCCTTAGAGTTACTTTGAAGCAGAAAGACTTCCCTTGAGAAACTCTCCTCTTTCAACCCTATATGTTCAAGCAGAGGCTATGCAATTTTTAATTCTCCTGAGAAGGAAACAGTGAAAAGAAAATGTGCTTTAACTGAGCAGTAGGAGAGGTGAACTGCAGAACTTTCAGTCCCAGGAAGCCAGGACTCAATGAAGGTGGCCAGAATTTTGATCACCTAAATGTAATACGGAGTTGCTCATCTGCAGCATCATTCTCAGCACGAAATAAAATACATACTGGGACTGAGAGACGGCTCAGTGGTTAGGAGCACTGGCTACACTTGCAGAGGACTATGGTTCCATTCCCAGCATCCACATGGCATCTAATAACCTTCCATAACTCCAGTTCCATGGAAATTCATGACCTCTTCTAACCCCTGAGGGCATTGCATGACATGGGTGCCCTTACACACCCGCAGGCAAAACACTCATACATATAAAATATAAATAAATAAATAAAAATAAATAAATGAACTACTAATAAAACTTTACTCCAAGGTAAGGAAAGAGAAAGAGTTCACAATTTTTATGAATAAATCACATAATAATGTTAAAATGAAACCAAAAGCTATTCTTTTTTTCTCTCTTGGGTGTGATGATTCTGAGGCAAGTGGGTTTCTACAGTCTACAATTTTCTAATTTTGATAAAATATAGCTTAATTGTGACTTTCTTATGGAAGTATCTCAAAAAAAAATCAATTACTGACAAGCTTGGAGGTTCATGAATTCCAGCACTCAGCAAGAAGAAACAGGTGAATCTCTATGAGATCAAGTCCAGCCTGGTCTATACAGTGAGCTTCAGGCCAGCTGGAAGTGCAGGGAGACTGTCTCAAACAAATAAACAAATAAATAAACATTTTTAAAAATCATTTACAATCATTTGTAACAGTGGCGTTGAGAATTTTTCTAGGCGGCAGCAATTCTTTGAAAGATGGGATTTCTTTAATCACATTCCAAGCACTGGATTAGGAAACGTCAGCTGATTCTTCAGGCCAAATAGGTCTGCTACTTTGAGCCTCAGAACCAGTCCCTACAGAGACAGACTTCCACACAGAGCTTTCCCCAAAAGTACCAAATGTCCTTTTCTAGATCCTCTGTGAAACTTCCCAGCTCTCCTATGTAAAGTTAGCAACTCCCTTGGCTGTGTCCCCAGAGCATTTGGTAAGAGCCCCTTGCACTGTATAATATTTACTCATGTGCTGTTCTCTTTCCCACTAGGCTGTGAGCTCCTCGATGTGAAGACCCAATATTGTGCTCCTTCTTCCTTCTCTGGCACTTACTAAGTTTGAACTGTATTAATAGACAAAGAAATAGCCTGTTCTCACTCAGCACTCCCCAATCTTGCCTGGCATTTAGTAGGTTCTTATTATGTTAAACGAGAGCAGACAGCTCACTTTGCATTTTGATATAGTTTGGTGAGGGCCCAGTATATGCAATTGATATCAGGATCACTTTAGTCTGGCATACTCCCTGAGCTACCAGCTACTTTCCAGCTAACCAGATCCTCACCATCTAACCTGCCTTCCTGTGCACTGCATAGCAGCTAGCTATGCCTGCACTGTCCACCTGCTCTTCTCTCGCCCACACATTATCAGCACCATCCAAAAGGCCGAGGGAATTCAGTGCCTTTAAACAAATTTGCTACATAAGTGACTGACAGCTGCTACTGTCTTGTTAATGGATCTGCATCAGTGAAATTATATTATATTTAAGGAAGACAAAGTAGTATCTTTTTCTTGACTATTACAATCATTTCCACATTCTCAGCAATTCTTAATCTATTCCACAAGTATTAGCTGGTGCTTATTAAGCTAAGTAAATTACTTCATTCACTCTTCCCAACAGTCTCATGAGTAAGTACCACACTTTCTCCTGCTTTGGAGAGAAATTTACACCTCAGAGGCAGAGCTTGGGTTTTGCCGTGGGTGATGTGACCCCATGCATTGTGAATTACAGTCCATATTCATAATAATTCAAAATAATGTAATGCTGAAAGTTTCCTTTTTAACAGTCTTTCATTGAGAAAAACATAGTTTTATGCAATCCATTTCTTAAACATCTTTGTACTAATGAAATGTCAAGTTTTTTATGTTATTTTTTGGGTTTTGGGGTTTTTTGAGACAGGGCCTCCCTGTAGGTAGGCCCAGCTGGCCTGGAACTCACTATGTAGACCAGGCTGGCCTGGATCTCGCAGATCCAAGTGCTGGGATTAGAGGCCTGGGCTACCACACATGATGTCAACTTTTTTAAAAAATTATTTATTTAATAACCACATGATTAAAAGAAGCATTTCGATACAGCATCAACATATTCAAGAACAATTTCCAGAGCAAAGATGCATCTCTTTCAAAAGTGGCTGTAAATTTTTAGGTTCACAGTTGAATTAATACAGTTATACAATATTGAACTCAGTATAAACCCTATAAGACATAAAATTGAATGAGGTTTTAACCTTTAAAAAAGATCTCCATTTCATTTTAAAATACAGTTTCATTTATTTTTTAATAAACACCTGTGGGAGGCTGTGGGAGGCTAGGGAGCTGGCTCAGCAGGTAAGGTGCTTGCTGGCCCAGAAACACAAGCCTGAAAAGCTGAGTTTGATCATTTGAACCCATGTAAAGGTAGAGGGATAAATGATCTCTCTGTGCTATCCCAAACACCACAGACCCTGAAATGTTGACTATTAACTACTTGGCTATAGAAGGCACCTGGATCACTACTGATGAACTTTTTCCCAAGTTATTGTCTGGCTGCTGTTCCTATGGTAGAGATCATAATGTCTGACTTTTTCAACTTTCACCTCAACTCAGTTAACATATAACCTCAAGGTAATCTTCCATCCAATTCAAAATGCAAAGTTAAAATAGTTTTACTAGTGAAAAAATGTGGGCTTCACATTTACAAGTCAATGTACACATATTTCAGTAGACTACAATAAATGTTACCTTAAAACTGTATCTTTTCAATCCCACCTTCATACATAAACCATCAACGCTAAAACTAATTAGTGCCCTTTGGCTTCTCAGATGAAATTTCTACTTCTTTATTTAAAATTATTTTCTTCTACTGTGGATAAAGCACACACTTTATCTCATATGACAAAGTAAAAGTTTAATTTTCCATGGTTCTCTCATTTAGCTTATTCTACATAAAATTTTTAAAAATTATTTTCAGTAGTGATCTCACCCTTTGTAGTCCATGCTAGGGAGGTCAACGCTTGTTAATAAAAAGCAGTGCTTTCTGGTCATTAAATACTTATTAGTATTTCTTTAAACATTTAGAGTTTAAGAAAGGTTATGAAACAAAACTCAGGTAAAGAAAGTCATAATGAATTTAAATAAAATAGTATATTCACATTTTAGGAGAAGAAATAATTCATAAACTCAACTTTTAAGAAATACGAAAAGTGTGTTAAAATTTCTGACTATAGTTCTTAAGCACTGTCTACCACACATTGTGTGAAACTGTGCAGATTATCTCATCTCACCAAAACCCCACACTGTTGGTGTGACATAGGCCTTAATTAAGTAGCCCTATTTTTATTTATTATTTTTATTTTATGTGTATTAGTGTCATGCCTGCATGTGTGTAAGTGCACCTGTATCACACAATGCTGTGGAGGTCAGAAGAAGACATTGGATCCCCTGAAACTGGAGTTACAGATTGGTTGTGAGCCACCATGTGGGGTCTGGAAATCAGACTCAGGTTCTCTGCAAGAGCAGGCAATGCTCTTAAACACTGAGTCATCTCTCCA